GGGTGCTCCAAAGAGGATGGAGCTGGACTGTTCTCAGTGATGACAGACCATAGAACAAGGAGCAATGGTCTCAAGTTACAGCAAGGAAAAGTTGGGTTAGATGCGAGAAAAATGCTCTCACTTGAGGGTGGTAAAAAAAAAAAAAAATCACTGGAACAGGTCACCCAGAGAGGCTGTGGACTCTCCATCTTTGGAGGTTTTTAAGACCTGGCTAAAGAAAAAGCATTGGCTGCAAGGTTCCTGCTTTAGCAGGGGGTTAGGCTAGATGACCTCCTGAGGTCCTTTCCAACCCTTCTTTTCTATGATTCTATTGAAGAAAGAGATGAAGGAAGGAAGAACCAAACCCCTAGCCAAATATTTAACTTGTATCTATGCATAATCCATTCATACCATGTCTTTTGGGACTTTTTCCAAATATTTACAACTGTATTTTTCAAACGCACACTGCAGCATAGGATAGCAGACAAACCTAGGTATGGTCTTTACGGCATACTCAGTCCTCTAACAAACTAGACTTACTCCATGGTTCCAAACTAAGATTTTAAAAGCTCAAGATATTTGTGCCATACACGACTCAAAGGGTTTTTTTTGTTTTTTTAAATGAACAACCAAAACAGACTGGGTACATAGCTAGATGCCCTGATCTGACAAAAACCATTTTTAATTCTGTCAGTGACTTAATCTTAATAATGCTTTGAATTTGTATAGCACTTTATAGGTGTTAGATCTCATACCAGTCTCTGTGAGGGAGATAGATAACCCTATTTTACAAATGAGGAAACTAAGAATCAGAAACATTAAATGACTTACTGAAGTCACAATCCAAATCACCCCAAAATGAGAACCTAGATTAAAGTCTAATTCAGAAGACTACTACATTACCTCCAAAACTAGTCATTTAATCTGCCCAATTCAACGTATGTAAATATTAAAATATTCCAAACCAGTAAGTAGACTATTGGCGTTTTCTAGCTCCCTATGATAGAGTTGATCAAAGGTCAGATCACTGTGTGTGGATGTAACTTTGACTACCAGCCAGGTAAGAGCATTTGCTGCAAGACAGCAAAAAACAAAAAACAAAATGCGCAAAGTATTAAAAAGATTAAAAATCCCAAAGGATTACCATACAAATTCTTCAAGGATATTTAAGTGAGCTGAATGGGAAGGGTTATACTCAGATCCTAATAAAATTATGAGCTCATAATACAAAATGTAGTCATAAAAAGCGTTCCATGTAAAATTAAGATCTTTTGAATCGCTTCATTACAGCATCACAGGTAGCTGGCAACAGTCCTGTGCCTTGCATTTATTTTAATCACTATAAACAGCAAAAATGGGAAAGTTCTGTATGTTCTAAAGGTCAGTGAAACAGAGTGGCTAACATCACTTTTCTACATGACTTGGTAAAATCCTGGCCCCACTTAAGTCATTTTGCCATTGACTTTAAAAAGGTCACAATTCCATTTAGTTTAGAGCAAGATTTCAGCTCGTTGACAGACATATTCATACAGTAATTTATACTTTTACTTATCACTGGATAGATCCGAGCCACATTCCTAAACATATGCACTGAACACAATTAATTTTGTATTTGTTGAATCTTTTCATGTTTAAGGGTACTAGAGAACCCAGGACTCAAGGAAATTGAATCTAGTACTGCTGTACACTATTGAGAAGCCAACACTCTTGTTCAATGGTTTGGGACTATCAGATGGTCATTATTTTATTAAGCTAGCACTGGATTCAAGGAGAGGACCAACTCTTTTGTGGAAGAAAAAAAAGTTCACATGTATGAGTATAATTGTATAAACGTCACGTGTTTAAATCTTCACATTCTTTCTTTTGCTAGCTACAGCAAGAGTTTGCCCTAGAGATCAGACAGAGAACCATGACACTGAATTATGACCAACAGATAAACAGAACAGAAACCTGGCAATAGCCACTCCCTAATCGAGTTAAGTATTTAAACAGTTGGACTCAAGCTCTTTGGCACTACCCGTGAATAATGTGGCAACAGGGTGAACAGCCTGCTTCAAGAATACTTTACTCAATCCATGGTTTTTCATATGAATATAAAACTTAATTCACTGATTTAATATAATCACATAGGTTTGACTGCTCCAAGCAGGTTTATATGACCCAAAATATTGTTACAATATTGCTCTTCAGTTATTAGTTGTTTCTGAACTTCTAGTAACTATTACCAAGAATAGGGTTACATGATCTTTTGACCTTAACACTGCAACGCTCCTGGAAGAGGAAAGTGGACCTGAGACATCTAAATTCATTGCACTTTGGTGCTGCAAATTCTCCAAGTATTTCTCTTCCATACCTTGCTGCTGTATCAGACTCAATGTAGAAAAGAAGCCATGTCAAAAAAGAAAGCGGAAATAAAAAAAAAAAAGAAAAAAAAAGAAAAAAAAACCGAAAAAAAACCCAGAACCAATAACATTAAAGGTACAGTTAATAAGAGAGACATGGAAGTTGAGGAAATATACTTAGAAGTGCTTTGATTTCTGGGGCCAGTTCCTGAGAACTTCTTGGGCAGACTTGGACGGGTCATTCATTTTTAGACTTGGATAAAGGCTTTTCTTGCTTTGTAATAACTGATGTTTAAGTTATTATGAACTAAGGGCACCTATACACGTGATAGAGCTCTGCTCTGATGCTTGCTAATTAGCATGTGTCGGAGCAGACTTGACTGAGTTAAAGCGCCCCTGCTGCCATTTTGAAGTGCAGGACACCAAATGCACATGACCCTGCTGGCACTTTAGAGTGGCTCCCAGAGCACCCCCCACTCCATTCCACCCCGGAGCATGTGTATGGATGCCCTAAACGTCCTATATTTATGCCCTAGATGCAACACTTGATCTTAGCCCACAAGAGGCCGAGAAGCAATACAGTTTATTACAAAGCTTTTAAACAAATCACTTATTTCAGCTTTCTTTTTAAATACTGTACTTGTGGCAGCATTTACTTTGGATGTAAAAATCTTCTTTTACAAGCAGCTTTTAGAGATCTGTAGTAGTGAAAGTATATTTCTACTGCAGTGAAGACTTCCACATGCCTTATCTGAAGTGCTCTAGTCCTTTACTCAAGTGGATAATATACTGGACCACCATCCACCCTAGAAAAGCTTTTGTTAATGAAATTATGAACTATGCATGCAACAAAAATGACTAGCTTTTCTCACTTATTCAGTATACTCTACCTTCATAGATGTGTTATACAATGAAATGAATGAAGTGAAGAGATCCAGATAACGGGTGGTGAAGACCAGTGCAAACAGAAGCTGGCTTTTCCCAGAAATACCTAAAGCAATAAAGGAAATAATTATTATACAAAAAATTTAAAAAAAAAAGAAAGAAAGAAAGAAAGAAAAGATGATGTTCTTCAAAGCATTTGGGGACAAGGGTGAGTATAAATCCTTATTTCCAGCTGGGTTGACTACACAATTAGGACAAAGACTGGAGCTCCCAGAACCAAGTACAAGCATCACAAGTTTGCCCATCTTAGTGATATCAAAACCAAGATGCAAAAGGCACCACTGAACTATGCAATGAATAAGTGCTCATATTATTAAGATTTGGATAAAAGTTATTAGAAGTCATACACTGACAGACAGTTCACAGGTCATGGTTTTGGAGAGCATGGCATCTCTTCTGTATTGTCACCACTAGTCTCTGCACAGTAAGGCTCAATTACGTTAGCAGACATTAGCTTTGTACTGTACTGAAGCATGTGACAACTCTGTCGCATTATCTATTGCTGAATAGCTCAAAAGGTATAAAGACAGAATTTGTGAACAGCATATACTGTTATTCCAGTGATAAGAGGAAAGAACATTAACACCAACTGCTTAGTGACTTGAAAGCTATTAAAGATACTGTAATGCTGTGCATTGCAATCATAAAATTAATTTTCCCACCCATAACAAAACAAATAAATCCTATGCAACAGTCAAAGCATGCTTATTAACACTGAGGATAAGATTTAAAAGGCCTCAGTGACATGGAGCCTGAATCCACTTTCCAAAAGTAACTTGGAAAATGAGACTTTGGGGACTAAGGTTCTGACCCTGCAAAAACTTGTGTGCACACTTAACTTTGACTTCAATAGGACTACACTCAGTGCCTGAAGTTAAGATAACTTTTGCCTTGACCTTGCAAAAGCTTAAAATCACTCAGGCATTCCTGAAAACTGCCTGTAACTTATTACTTGTTATTACCATTCTGAGCTGGTACTCCAGTGCAAACAACGGTATCCCTATTCAACACTTTTCTTGACATGCAGGTATTCTCATTGCCCAACTGTTTTAGGCAAAAGTAATCCCCTCCCAGCCATTTTAGCTGAACACATTCAACATTGCTCAAAGTCACAGAGAAGAAGAAAGTATATCCAGCATTTGCAAAATTGTCCTATTTTATAGCAAGGTAAGACCAAAAATCTACAAATCCCTACTCCTCATAACTGAGGTCCACAGAACTCATTTCTTTGGTAAGGACTTTTACAAGCAAGACCATGAACAAAAAGAATCCTTTGTGATGCTTAAACTCTTTTAATGCTGGCTGAAGAATAACTGAGATGGCGTCTCCACAAATAAAATCATGAATTACACCTAAAGGGAGCATGCTGATACGTATAGCACTGTATTACTGGAGGAGCTCAATGGACAGAATCCTAAAATGGCTTAACTGCAGTAATTGGTAATTTATTAAGCATTTGATTTACTAATTTCATGTGAGATAAATGTTTATCATAAAACTTAATGCTAACAAACTGCCAATCCCATAAAGCTCAGCATAGGGGAGGAAAAAACATAAAAGCCACAAACCTTAATTTATACCAATGGGCAGACATGGTAGAGCTTGTTTATCTTTTCTAAGCTGGAATCTTCCAAAGTTAGTTCACAGGAAATAATTAATGTGCTTCTTGAGAGAAAGCCACATTTTGACGGTAAATTGCAAGCAAAATACCATTTCAGCACTGCAAACCCTGGAGAAGTCTCTGACCATGAGCTCCCAAACCAAGAAGCTCTCAATGTGTTGGAAGACAGCGGAGTTGAACGGGCATAGCAAAAGGCAGGGACTATACTATACAACCATAACTAATCATTTAGCACTAGTCAGAACAGACATAACAAGACCCTCTCTGAATATATGAAATCAATGCTATATAGCCATGTCTATATATTTAAGCATACTGCAATCTGAATTCGACATACTTGGTAAGTTACATAAAGGAAATGAAAATATGGCACTAAAATCTACAACCCTCCTATCAATTCCCAAAAAGAAAGATTTTACATTTATGGACTTCCATAAGCCATTTAGACTGAATTTTATGCTTTTCCCAGAATGAAGGGTGCACAACACACTGTTAAACCAAATCTAAAACTAGAGAGAACAAGATGAGCAGGGCTCGAACAATTTACTGAAAAACAATGCAAAGATATGCAGGCCAGCATTAGGGACACGCACACACAAAATGAGGGGTAGGGTCAATGACTGCGAGTGACCCAGGCTACAGGTTAGTCCAAAAGCTGGGAAATATCAGCATCTGTAACCCAGTGGTGCTAGCCATGGACCCTTACGGCCTGCTGTCAACGAATGACAGCACACCTACCCCCTGCAGCTCCCGAAATGGAGGAGGTAGTTTTTGCTGCTTTTCTCTGCTCAAGAGTCTCTTGCATGCCTGGGGCACAAGTCTCCCATGTTCCACCTCACCCACAAAAAGCCCTTCAGGCTTACACTCCCTAACGTTACCAAAAAGCCACAGTGATAAATTGCTGCACTTAAGGCCCTCACCAAGTCCCACAGCCAAGAACAGCAGTTGGAATTCACTGGTTTTTGGTTGGTTTCATTTTGCTGTTGCTGCTCACAAAAATCTAAGTGATGATGTGGCTCAAGTGCCCTACTTACAGATTCAGGGAGAAAAACCTTATACTGATTACCATTCCCAATTCAAACCACAATTCAGCCATCAGGAACAGAAACTCAAATTTTCACCTTAAGAAAAGAAAAGAAACGGGAAAAAAAATTATTACGGAAGAATTGATGGCTCAACCCCCCAAATCGCTAAGGAAACTTCTTACCGGCCACTGTTAAGTGGTAGTTCAAGCCCTAAAATGGGCAATGAAAATATTTTCAATATGTAACTGGTGCCTTATGTATCCTCATGCAATTCAGACCAGCCACTCACACCCAACACTGAACACATACCCCAGAACCACACAGTAAGCTTCAAGCTGGGGTGAAGCAAGACTGTATCCAAAACAAAAAAAACAAAAAAACAAAAACAAACCAGAAACTTTCTAAAATAGTATTTTCTGCAAAAAAAACAACAACAACAACAAAAAAAACAAACAAAAAACCATTTGCCTTTTCCTTGCACACTAGCAGGTCTTAGTAACAGTAACAATGACAAGTGTGAGATCTTTAGCATAGCACGAGCTGCTCCATGGCACATACTGACTCCAGCACAAACAATACAATGAAAGATAATATTAAAAAGAAACAAAAAGCTTCATGCTCTTTTACTCTGATCATTTAGTGTATTCAGCACATAACTCAACAGCCTTTGCAACTACAGGTCATCTTTAGCACGTGGCAAGGAATATTGAGATAAGAGCAAATCAATTTTCAAGCAGTAATTTCCAGAACAAACGACCTAATTTGATTTAAAATGGATTAGAGAACACAATCCGCATAAAACGGTTCTTGGAAGCACATAATTTTACAAGTTATATTGACTTCCATGTCACAGAGTATTTTTACAAAGGAATTCAATAGTTAGCAGCAGCATTTTGCCCAATTCCTAGTAATCATTTCTGAGTTGGTGTTTGGAGCAGCTAATGTTTTTCTAAGACGCTAATTTGGATGCTAATAACCAATCTGCACATCCAAAAACCTGATTTTTTTCCCCTTCTCTCTCCCCCTTGCCCCTCTCCCATAGTTCTGAAGAAGCCATACAACTTAAATTTGTTACCTCCTACTTTCACCTTCCAACAATCCAGTGCCCTACCAGAACAACAGAAGTCAGGATTACTCAAAACACTATTAACAGCCATCATTCCTTAGCAGATCTGTAAGCACTCATTACGTTCCTGATTACATAAACCACCTCTTAATACTTCAAATGGTTCAAACAGCCACTCCCCCTCCTTTCCTTATGTGGCTCCCAGGCTGTCTCCCCCTCATTTCCAGCTGCTTTTACAGACCCCCAAGCTCCTCTTGGAATAACAACCCTGGACATATGCAGAGAAGCCACTGGAAAAGAAGATTCAGCACCAGGATGCTTGCCAGCTCTGCATGGACCCAGGATAACAGTTTGGGAATCACTCATTCATTTAGGTTCGGAACAATTAAGCTTCTTCTACACTGGGAGGAAGTCAGCAGTTCAATTAGCACTTCATTTGTTCACACTCTTACTTAGTCTGAGGAAACTGTAAAGCATATGAATGTTTGAGGTTAAATTACAAAATGCTTTAACAAACAAGCTTGGTAAGCAATCATATAATGACCTCAAATGACAGTTATTTAGCAGCAACCAATGTGTTTCAGGAACAGCTTTTATTAACCTTTTTTATGCAAATATATCTTTATAAAATTTCTCTTTAAAAAAAACAAAACAAAAAACACAGGCTCAGCCATCTGTCACAGGGAAAAGGAAGGAGCCTCAGAAAAGCATGCTCCCCCCCATGCTCTCTGAAAGCCAAGCTGCTTCTGCTCGGCATCTGAGCCTTAAGGATCTGAATTTCTCTTTTTTCCTCACAGTGGCAAAGATTTTTGGGGGGCAATATCTTTTATTGAACCAACTACCCAATTGTCTCTTGCATGATTCCTCAACCATCACAGCTATAGCATCACTTCTTTTCCTCAGGCTTTGTTGAGCTTTCTTTTCAAGAAAGATCAAGAAATAAGCCCAAGGATAAAATTTACCAGCTCCCAGATACCCGTTTAAAGGGCAGAGTAAAGCAAATTTTCTCTGCTGAAAAAATTTAGGAGGGAGGGAGGGAGAGAGGGGGCTTGGCTCAGCTTCAATTACTCTGCCTTCAATTTCTTTTAACAGGGCATGTGGAGAATGGGAGAAGTGTGGGCCTTCTCACATGAGCTCTTTCAACTCATAGTGCTGGAAAAACAATAAGGAAGAAGTTACTTCTGGAGTAGGTATTAACTTCTAATTATGTGGTAAAGAGAGAGGCTCATTTGAAGTGAACCTTGAGGCTCTTAAGGAAGCAGTTTTGGGGAGCAGGCTGGTCATCAGTACTTCAGAGGGTAAGACAGGACTCTGATACTGTAGGTCTGCTAGAGTAATTACTGAGCCCGTGTTCAGAGGAAGCCAGGTAGGAAGGATACTGAGCCAAGGAACTGAGCCTGGCTCTCCTGAACCCTGGCTAACATCCCGATTGTCCCCATCACCTCTCCCCAGGCCACATACCTTTCCTCACATATGTCTAGACAGACAGACTACATAACCCATTGCCTCCACAACCCCTTACTCGCCCCAGGAAGGAGCTGAACAGAGCTCTTGGGCTACAGACAACCGAATCCTTGTCAGCTCTCTGGGGCTCTGTCCTGGTCCTGGACTACCACTGGTCAATGCGGGTCCTGGACTACCGCTGCGCCTGCAAATGAGACCCGCTCGCCCAGTGACATACCCGCCTCACAATGGCTCTGAAGGGAAGCACTGAATTTCCCAGACGTGCTTCTGCAAACCACCAAATGCCTGGAGAGGAGGGCCGGTCCAGGACACAAGTGACCACCTTCCCATCCCCCCACGTCCAGCCGGCCCCAGCAGCTCACTCCACAGCGTGGGCTGGACTCCGAGGCCTCCACACTCGCCTGGGCCAAGCCCGGTCTCCCTTGCACCGTCGGCCCCGGTTTAAGGCGACTCATTTGCTCGTGTGCAAGGCGCCTCCTCGCCGCCAGCCCCGAGCCCCACTGCCACGTCCGCGCCCGGCTCCCGCGAGTGGACGGGGCCTCCCGCCGCCCCGGCCCCGCACTCACCGGCGCAGGAGCGGGTCTTCCAGATCTTGAGCAGCAGGATGATGATGGCCGCCAGGTGGGACAGGTCCCCGGTGAGGCGGAAGATGTTCATGGCGGCGGCGGGCCGGGGCCGGGGACCGAAGATGGCGAGAGCTCAGCGACGTGGCCCGGAGACGTGGCCAGACAGCCAGCGAGCCCGCTGCACGCCGGGAACCGGGGCCCCGCCCGCTCGGCCCGCCCCCGGGGAGGAGCGCCCGCAGACGCGAGGAAGGGTTTTCCATCCCCCGCCAAAAGAAAACCGTTGCGTGGAGCCCGGGCGTGCGGCGGAGCCGTGGGGCGCTGCCGCGTCTGTGGTCGGGGGGCTGCACCTTCCTCAGAGGCCGGGCCGGGCCGGGCCTGGCAGGTCCCGTCCGCTGAGTCGGCTACAGGCTTCCCTGCTTTATGCGGTAGGCAGGGTCCTGCAAGACTGCATAGCTCCGCTTGGCCTAAAGGGAACCCACGTTACAATGTAACAAACAGGGATACCGCCAAGAACCCCAGGCCCGTTTCTACCACGTTTACAAGCCCGTTTTGTTACTCGCCACAGCAGATAGTCCACACAAGCACCGGGCATGATCACAGTGGGGGCCAGGGGTGGCGCGTAGGGGGCCACCCTGCTGCCGACACCACCAGCAACGTCTGCAGGTGGTCTGCGATCCCCATGGGCCACTGTCAACACTCCCAGCGGCGCCTGCGGGTGGTCACCGACCCTTGGTCAACGCTCGTCACTGCCGCCAACAGTGCCAGTGGCATCTGTGGGAGCTCCCCCACTTACCACCACCGCCATCACCTCGTTCCTGCAGCCGCCGTGCCCCCCAGCTGCCAGGGGCACGCGCGGTTCGTGGTGGGGAGGGCAACTACAGAAACGCGTGTTGCAGACAACGAGCACGATTCCTGGGGAAACTCCATATCTCTGGGTCCAAGGAGGCAGTTTTCCTTATGTGTTCCCAGGGATCACTGCTCTCCTGGCGTGGTTTAGTACCTGCCAAGGTGTTAGGGCTTAAAGCCCACTGTATGGAAACGGGAGGCTCCTTGCTAGCTTGCTCCTGCGGCCCTTTGTCTGAGGACAGGCAAAATAATAATAAAAATTATTTTAAAAAAAAATCCACGCAGCAGACTATATTTTGGTGTGCATCACTCCCACAATGCACCACACAAAGCAGCTGACTGTGGGCTTCCACCACACCCATCACATAAGAGTGAATTTACCTCGCATATAACAAATTTTTGGTATAAAAAACAGTCATGGAATAAAAGCAAATTTGCACATACAAAACCCGCATAAGGCAAGGGAAACTGGCATCTGCTATTGCCGGGGCCTTGGATATCACCAGTGCCTTAGTCGCTATTGGTCTTTGTGTGCGTCTACATGTTCATTAATGAGCTGTAGTTATGGTGCATTCAGTATGATACTTGGTTAACCATGTATACAATCAATGTACAGTAACTTGCCCTACAGCACAGTAGTGATGGGTTTTTAGTGACGCTTACTGCACAATAGTTTAATGCTACTGCACAATAGTGTATTAGCACCTCTCTTGCCTGGCACGCTACTGTCCAATGTTATTAGGCTACTGTGCAGTTAGCATCTGTTGTAGACGCACCCTCTGAGGTATACAGTTTGGCTTCCTGAAAACTGTAAAACTTTGGCCTCAATGTGATGGTATCCAAGTGATATTAAATGGCTTCGGCTAGTCCCTTTTGTATACAAACTACATGCTTGCTTGGTCTACTGCTCACTATTTCATTTGGGGTCTCCATGGCAATGAAGGGAGGCTAACTAAAAAACCAAGATAAATACTCTGTCCCCAGAAGGGACATTGCACTTGCAACCTATGCAATATCAGGGATGAGATACAGGACATTCAGCTCCTGTCAGGTAACCTAGAGGGGAACCACCATCAGCTGAACAGCTGTTTAAACCTTCTCTGCTATGGGCCAAGTGTTCAACATGACAGAGTTGGGAAAATAATTCACAATGTGTAACAGTGGTTTTGTTTTTTTCTATTCCAGGTGTCTGCGCTGGTTATCATACTTATTTGCTTGTTAATCTTTATGAATAATTGTAATTCATTCACTAACAGCTTGTTGTGAGTCTTGAAAATTCAATCTGACACATCACATGGTGAATCCCAATTTTTGCAGGATCAGAATTAGGTTTTGTTGTGAATTGCAGGCAATCCTGCTTAATGCTATTTCACTATAATGTTCATTTTAAATTGATACCCGATTTCACTTAGCACTCAGTGAGTTTCCTTATAACACTTGCAGTCGCCACCTTGGATCATTAAAAACAATTGCGGTCACCATCTTGAGTTGTCAAATATTTTCAGTTTCGCTCAGTTTTTCAGGAACCAATTAAGAGCACTAAGCAGGGGTTGCCTGTACCTGCAATTCTAACATTAAAGTAACTTCCTCAGTGTGGGAGACTGAAGTTAAATGAAACCAGGCAGAATAGTGGGATAATATATTAAGTTGTTCCTGTCTTTAGAAGAAAACACGCAAAGCATAACTTGCCCTTTTTGTGATAATCTAGGCTTTTCATTAAATCTTTGTCCCCCAAAAGACTATCACACTTGCAACCTGTGCAATACCAAAAATGAGGTGAAGAACATTCAGCTCCTCTGCCAGGTAACTGGTCAGGGAGATGGAAAAGACCTTTTGGGATTTTAGGATCCTATCAATGCAGGACTGCTTCTGGCTCTAGGAACTCATGCAGACTTTTCCATTGAGAGTACTTGATAAACCTCCAAGCATCAGTAAATTAAGCCTACAACATTATGGTGGTGGCCTTAGAAATGTATACAGCATAAGTATGCTCAAGTGTTTCTAGTGCCTTGCCCTTACTGAATCTAGTTATTCAAATTCTTGGCAAAAACCAGGTGAGTCATGTAAGAGGATGTAGTAACTAGACAGCTGGATACCTTACATATGTAGGCTTTCCTATGCTTAAAAAGCTCTCTTTAGGTAAATGAGATGAGTGTACCTGTATTCACACAATTTAACATGTTCATTAAAATATCCAAAAGCTGACTACAAATGTGATGTTCAGAGCAGCTGAGGTTGTTTACATAATGACTTGTGTTTGCCTTGCTTCTTGAAGACTGTAGTGGGCAGGGCAACCTAGGGGTCACCGTGCTCTCCCCTAGCACCCCTTACTGTGTCCAGGTTGTCTACAAAGCACCCTTCATTCTCGCCTGCCACGTCTTTACTCATATATATTATAGGGAGGCTGCCTCTTCGTCTCCCTGGGCACAGTTTACCTCCTGCTACATTAGCCCATCTCTGCTAATGGGGGTTCCTGGGCACCCCAGCCTTATGGGCTATGCGTGGCTCCAACCATCCCTGTACCACACCCCAAGCCTCGCAGATGTACCAGACATTGTTCAGTCTTAACCACAGCCCTTATCTCTCCCCACAGGCACTCTGGCTTTTGCTGCCCCCTTTGCCTGGGGCCTCCCACGCTGCCCCCTTTGCCTGGGGCTGGGGCCAGTGCACCCCAAAATGCTGCACCCTCTCTGGCACCAGGGCCCCTATGAGGTCTCCTCTAACTCCTAATAGATTCACCCAAACTACCCGTAGTAAACACAAAACTCAAGCCCCTAAGCTATAATGTAAATTTCTGCCAGTTGGGTACAACATCACTCAAACCACCCCCAAGGGTGCTTCGTCCTTTACCTGTGCCAACTGCTCGTGCATCTTGGCCAATTCTCTTCTCTTGCTCCAGCAGAGTTCCTACCCCTTTGGCTGCTGGCAGGGAACTGCCTGCCTGGCCTCAGCCTGGGAGTTATATAGGAGCCAAGCTAAGCCCTGCCCTGTCCGGTCAGCTGACTCCCACCAGTTGCCGTAGCAACCTGCACCCATGCCTCTTCATTACTACTGCACAAGTAGCGGGCACCTTAGTGCCCTGCTACGCACCTCCCCTCTTAAGATTCAAACTCACCGGGTCGAGTCTTCATTCTTATCTGCCACACACCTTTTGTCTTAATTCTTTCAGGTCTTGGCTCTTGTTCAACCATTCAGACGCGCAGGGGCAGAGGTTTTAAGGCGCCTCCTACCCGCCTTTTACCCAAGGGGCACCATGTGGGATTTTATGGGATTTGCCCTGCCGCGGGCAGTCCCCCCACTCTAGCCAACCTTGGTAGGTTGCGCTGTCTGTTGGTCAAGCTCCAGCCTACCTCTCGGGGTTCTTTCTCCCTCTCACTTCTGGCCCTTCTACGTTCCATCCCTGTACACCCTGGTCTCTTTCTCTGGGCAAATTGTGGGATCTTTTGCCTCTCTAACTCCCTGGAGATCTTGAAGCCTTCCCCAGATCTCCCACTGTTTACTCAGCACTTTCTGGGCATACTCTTCTCTCCAAAACTCTACCTTCCCCCTGCCAGTATGTCTTCCTCCTGGCCCTTTATAAATCTTTACATAGGCTACACCTCCCACTTTCTTTTCAATGAGTTTTCTCAACATCCACCACTGGATCTGTTTAGGGATGTTATTTACATAAACCTGTGGCCTTTTTGCAGGCTCTTGCGCCCCCGTTGGTTGTTGTTCTCTCCTCCTCATCTTGTGTGCCTTGGCCCTATCTTCTTCTCTGGGCTGAATTGATCCCCTTTTTGCAGAGTCTGTCTTTGACCCGTATTGCCCTAGGCCCCGAACTGTCAGTGTACAGTCCTGGTAGATTAAGTGGGAGGTCCCACTCCTTGGGGTAGTCTGTTCACCTTCCCCTGCCATTCCCTTATCCACCAGGCCTACTTCCCTTGGCTGCTCCTGGCTCGGCCCCGTACTCCTTCCCTGGGTTTGAGATCTAAATAATTCTCCCAGCTGGATATGGGCGCGGCTGACAAACCGCATGGGCGGTTTTCCACTGCGCGCTTCCTCGCTCCTCCAGACCTCTGCAACAGGTAAGTTTTTTCCTTCTTTCGCCTTGGTCTGGGATCTGCCTCTGAACAAGTCTTCCCCCTTTTCCAGTCTTGTGCCCCTGAGACAAAGACAAAGCTGAGGGGTTGATTCTAGTTAAAAGGTTGGGGGGGGGAAGCAATGAAGAACAAATACTGTATTTACTCAAATACAAGATAAGGGTATTTTTCCCACCAGTCAGCAAGGGGGGAAAGGCCCCTCCTTTTATATTTGCATATGAAGTGGAGCAGGCAGTTGCTGCAGCTCTGACTGTCCCTG